ATTTCTTTGTTTGTGTGTTCTTTAAATTCACTGAATTCTTTTATCATGTTTATAATTGTTCTTTTGAGTTCCGTGTCCTGCATTATCTCTAGGCGGTTCTCATTGTACTCTTCTAGAGGACTATTGGTATTTGGTGAGGATATGTTATTTTTGTTTTTCATGTTGTTATTTTTTCTCTGTGATTTTGACATGTGAATTTCTTTTGTTGTTTCTTTTTCTTGTGTGAGACTCAAGCCTTCAAGTTTAGGTCTGCTTCTTTTTGTTAACTTTATGTGTCTTTGTGGTTTACTTGTTGGGCATGAAAGGCTGCCTAGTCTAGGCTTCAGGTTCATTCTTATGATTTTTATATTGGAGTGGCCAAATTGCTTTCATCTTCAGGAGTTCCCACGGAGGCCCAAGTCAGATGAGGATCAGATGCTCTTAGGCTTTCTCCTAAGGTCTGAATCCCTCCAGGAATTTGGGGGCTGGGCTGGCCTGGGAGCAGGGCCCAAGAAAGATGCTGGTCTCGGGAAGCTGGTGGCTGTGTCACACAGGGATGCAAAGGCTATTGTGATTTTCATACAATATAATTTAAGGCATTTACATCCCTTCCCCTATCCACACCTCTCCTTACTGCCCCAACCTAATTCAATGTACTCTAGTATAATATATATAATATTTATTATATACATATATCCCTATAGAATATAATTAGTGTCCCTTCATTGGAGAATTTCCTTCAGTGTGGGTTTATCCACTGGAGCCTTGTTAACCTGCCAAGAATCCCATCCTTGAAAGATTCCCCCTCCCAGCAGCCACCAGTTGCCCTAATTTCTTTAGGTTGGGTTGAGGTTTCTTATCCACTTTCCCAGGGATTTTTGTCTAGTCTGAGATTGCATGGGACTTGTGCATGCTGTCACCATTACTGTTTGTTCATATGAGTAACTGACCAGTTGCCTGAAAAAACTGTTTCCTTGTGGCTATCTACCATGTCTGGCTCTTACAATCATTTCACCCCCTCTTCTGCAATGGTCCCTGAGCCTTGGGAGGCAGAAATTTGATAAAGGTGTCCTATAAGGGATAAGCAGTCTGAAGCCTCTTGCTCTGTGTACATTGACCAGGTGTAGGTTTCTGTGTTAATCACCATCTTCATAAGGAAACTTGGCTGGTGAGAATTGAGAGATGCATTAATTAATCTATGAGTATAACAATAAGTCATTAGGAGTCAGTTTAACAATAACCATTTAGTAGAAAACTAGTATTAGGTTCTTCCCTATGTCCTATGACCTGTCTAGCCTCAGGTTCCTTAGCCAATGTCAGGTATGGGATCTACTCTATGAAGCAGATCTTAAATCCAATCAAAGAGTGGCTGGTTACTCCCATAATATTTGTGCCGCTATTGCACTGATGGGCATATCTTGCCAGGCCAGTACACAGTGGAATATTATTCAGTTCTTTAGAAAAAATTATGAAATTCTCAGGCAAATGGATACAACTCTAAACAATCATCCTGAGTGAAGTAACCCAGACTCAGAAAGACAAATGTCACATTTTCTCTCATTGCTGGATGCTAGCTTTGAAATCTTAGATATGCATGTTTCAATCTGAAAATTCAGAGAAGGAACTAATAAAAAGCCATGAATGGGGTGGGAAGATTTACTGGGAGGGGTGGCAGAATGGAGAGATATGAAGAAGGAAAGGGGAACATTAGAGTGTAAGAAGGGTTAAAATAGGTGGGGAACAGTAGGGTAGGACAGAGGAGGGTGTATGGGAAGGGATAAGTAACACTCAAGGCCTGTAGAAAAAAGCCATATGGAAACCTACCACTATAGAAACTTTACTTATAAAGTACAGACATATACATTATAAAGAGATTAAAAGGAGTTACCCTTTAACAGTGGGACACTGCCCCTTTATAGGCTAAGAAAAAAATAATCTCAATGCCAGGAATGGACTCCCCCTATAGAAGCTGTTGACTGGGGGGCTCATAGATCCTCAAATAATACTGGCCATTGCCCCTGATCTTGGTTACCAGAATGTGGTGGTAAAACCCTATTGTTGAAAACACTACATAAATAAGCTGTAGAACAAACAAGGAGAAATCAAGCAGGTGCTGACTTCAGAGACTCATCTCTACTGGCTAGTGTCCATAGTATTGGAAGGTATTATGCAAACTGCCAGAAGGAAACAATAATCATCAACCCTACCCATGTCCATTTAATTTTCCGTCTTTCTATCTTGCCTCAATTATTAAAACTCTACAGTGCAATCAGTAAGCTTGACTAAATAGAAAACACAAAACTATGTGGCCATAATAACAAACAATATAGAAAACAAGTCTATATTTTAAAACAGACTATATAATATGCAATATCAGAGCATCAAAAATTTCTTTACAAAGAAAACATTATATCACTCTTTACCCCAATACTATCATCTGGAAATTTTTTAACTTGTCTTTTAAATAATACTTGGGTAAAGAAGAACAAAATTGGAGTCACAGACAATTTAGAAACAATTAGTGAAAACATTACTTATCAAAACAGGAATAGAATTAAAGTCATACTCAAGGAATAGTCATAGCATTAATGGAATTTATTAGGATACAAGTTTAAACACAGGTGAATAAAATCATAGCTAAAGAAGACAGATTAACAGCAATGTATACTGTGGCAACAAATTTAAATATGTATGCATGCACACGTGATGAAAGAAAAGGAAAAATAAAGGAAGGCATTAGTGTAAACTGAGGCAACTATTATCACATTTTAGGAATACTTTTCTCTTTTTCCATTCTTGCTCTTTCTAAAACATTTTGAATATAATTATACTTCCATTTAAAAATAGTACTTTTTTCCCTTTCTTTTTCTCCCTAGTCTAATTGTCACAAGTGGCATATAATGAGATATATAAGTTCTGTAGAGCCCTTTAGAACCACAGACCTGAAGCTAAGGCTAAAGTAAGACTTAGACCTCTTCTGTAATCAATACATTATGATTCATCATGCTCTTCAGGATCCAACTGAATCTGACACTCAATATGCATTAATGCTATTAAAAATAGTAAGAGAATTTAAAGAATAAATGGAATACTTAAATCAATACTTCTCAAAAATTTACATAAATGGATCTTAGATAAGAGTAAACTTGTACTTAGCAATCGTGTGTAAGGGCTGTATAAAAGAACTTCAACAAAGTAGTTCATTATATTAATAAAATGATTTTTTATCAAAATCACTCCACCTTCATTGCTATCCAATTTCCTGGATACTGAGGACAATATAAAAAATGTATAAGGTACCTGAGAGATGGCTCAGCTAGTAAAGTGCCTGTTGTACAAACCTGTGGACCTGAATTCAATCCCCAGCACCCACATTTTAAAAAAGCTGGGTGGCAGAGTGCACCTATAATTCTAGTGCTGGGGAGATGTAAACAGGAGGATCCCTGGGGCCTATTGGCTAGCCAATTTATCTCGATAAATGAATTCCAGGTTCAGTAAGGGACCCTGCCTTCAAAATGTGGATAGTAGTGGTTAAAGAAGACATGTGACTCTGACTTCTGGCCCCATAAATATGCACACTTGTGCAGGTGCATCTGCAAACACATGTGCACACCCATATGTATGAAGACATAAACATATACAAGACATATAATCATTTTTTCATTTGACTCATTAGAAGTCTCTTATTTTGTTTATGGATATTCTACCCTGAGCATGACCCATCTTGTCTGACCTTGAAAACTAAGCAGAGTCAGGGCTGATTAGTACTTGGATGGGAAAAGTCTCGTTTTTATAAAAAATTTATAAACACATTAATGAATACCATTCATTGTCAGAAGGGCAGATGCAAAGATATGCATAAATCTAGTCTTTCTCATTTCAACTTCCTTGTATAGGTAGTCTCATATTATATATACATTTCAACCCATATATATATATATTTCACATATATATTTCAACCTTAAATATAAATGGCACACCTTTGTTACCAGTATCTGTAACTGCTTCCTTTCATTCTTACATAAATTAAAAACGAAACAATGAAGTCTTGAATGAACTTTACAGAAACATTCATGAAGTTTAACAAATAAATCAAATTAAAACATGTAAATACAGTAAAAGACTGAAACCCTCAAGTTTTAGCTGAAATTATATTTGTGATTCTGAGATGTAACTTTATTAAATGGATGAAACTGGCAACTTTTCAAAATGTCATCCTATAAAATAAATATTTTAAGACCTTTAAATTCTTGTTTTAAAATGTATACTATATTGCATAGTGTTTAAATGACTCCCTGCCTTTGCAACCATCTTTGAGCTGACTATATCGAGATACTTTACCTTTTTGGCTATACAATGCGGTTCCTTTTTCATTCTTCTTAATAAAAACTCTGGCATGTTGTTTTCAATATCTTCACGAGTTCCCTTTTTATGTAAAACTGCAGCCAGAAATGAAATAACCTGGAGAAAAAGGGGCTTTTTCAATTGCCATGCACACATCAAGACACTGAAAAATACCACTATGTACGTGACTGCCCACTATATATGTGGCAAATGACATACAGGGATTTGTGAGGGGAAATGTAACACAGAATTAGTACTGACTTTCTTTGTAGTAACAGGGATGTATAAAAATACTACCTTTGCTGGGCATGGTGGCACATGCCTTTAATCCCAGCGCTGGGGAGGCAGAGGCAGGCAGATCTCTGTGAGTTCAAGGTCAGCCTGGTCTACATAGTGAGTTCCAGGACAGCTGGGGCTACACGGAGACCCTGTCTCAAAAAGACCAAAAATAAAAATAAAAATAAAAAAAATACTACCTTTGAACAATTTAAAATTTTTTCACACTGCCAACTCTTCTAGGCAAAGTTCTGCCTATTCAGTGAATTCTTTCCTTATTGCATCAGTTGAGATACTGCCTATTTGTTTCTACCCATAGAAACTATCTCTTCATAGCCTCTATTAGAATAAACATTATATATTTTTCTTTCCTTGTAGACAGTAAATTCCTTCAAGGAGGAAATATTTGCCTTGTAAATCGAATGTTATTTTAAGATGAGTTAATATAATTCATCTATATACATACCATTGTGAATAAAAATATTCTTCAAAAATGAGGACAAAAAGAAGAGAAAAAGGACACATAACCTCACACAACAAACACCAAGAAATATTTGATTAATTAGGTGTTGGTTTGAATTTTAGCTCTGCTTGTTTGGCAGCTATGTGTACTTGGGCAAGGCAGCTAACTGCCTTGAACACTATTTGTAAAAAAGAGCAAAAATAATATTAGCAAGGTTATTTTAAAGACTTGGGGAGAACGTGTATGAGGTAGGTATCCATATTGGAGGGGCAGCCAATCATTACCTTAAAAAAGAAATTATAGAAATATTAAAACCTAAAGAAAACTTAGACAATAATTAGAAATTCAGAGAAAAGGAAGCAAGGAGGGGGCTAAAAAAGAGGCTCACTCTAGCCCAGTCTGGCCTAGAAATCACTTCAAATCCACGCAGGGTGACCTCAAACTTACAGCAATCCTCCTGCTTCAAGCCTGCCAAGTGTTGGAATTACAAAATATTTTTTAATATGTACATACCTATTATCTGAATCCCAAAGGGCAAACGAAAAAGAAAGGTAGTGAGACATTTGAAGAAATAAAAATTGATGTTTTAAAAATTAAAAAAGGGACTAGAGAGATGGCTCAGCAGTTAAGAGCACTGGCTGTTCTTACAGAGGACCTGGGTTCTGTTCCCAGCACCCACACGATGACTTAACAACTGTCTGTAACTCCAGTTCCAGGTAAATCAGATGCCTTCTTCTGACCTCTGTGGGCACTGCACTACATGGGTGCAGTTACATACATGCAGGCAATACAGTTATGCACATAAAATAAAAATAAAAAGAAACTTAAGCCATAAATTCAGTAACTAAGAATACCAATTACCCACCCCCACCAAAATTTAAAAAGCTAACAAAAATATACAAGTAGGTGCTTCACATACCAAAACTGAGACACAAAAATAATCTTTAAAGTGACTTGAGGAAACAAGAACAGAGTACCTACAAAACAGCAGTGATTAAATAAAAATAACAAAAAACAACACAGACACTACAAAATAGAATATTTTCAAGGTAATAAAGAAAATAAACAATCTAGATTTTTCTTTTTTCTTTTGGTTTTTTTGAAACAGGGTCTCCCTGTAGCCCCAGCTGTCCTGGAACTCACTATGTAGACCAGGCTGGCCTCGAACTCACAAAGATCCGCCTGCCTCTGCCTCCCAAGTACTGGGATTACAGGCATGTGCCACCACGCCCGGCCAACAATCTAATTTTTATATCCAGTAAATATTCAAGAATGTAAAGTGAAGATATTTTCAGACAACCAAAACTACCATTCATCACTAAAAGAGATACACTAAAAATATTAACACTGGCTGTGGTGGCACATGCCTTTAAACCCAGCACTCGGGAGGCAGAGGCAGGTGGATCTCTGTGAGATCAAAGCCAGCCTGGTCTACATATTGAGTTCCAGTCCAGCTGAGACTACAGAGATACCCTATCTCAAAAAAAATCCAAATAATAGTAACAATAATGATAACTAAAGGACACTGTAGATACAAGGAGATGATTCTAGATAGAAGATCAATGACACGGGCAAAAAGTAAGAACAAGGAAAACGACAAATATGTAGGCAAAAAAGGTACACTGCCATAATGAAACAGTAAGAAAGTATTGTGCTGGCATCAATTAATGAGAATTAGAAGCTACAATAACAATCTTATCAAGTCAGAGGCAGCACATTTACAGTACTCTAAAGTCCTTGTATTGTCCAGGAGAAAAGAAAAGCATTATGTATGTTACATCTTGCTAAGTCAAAGACATCTGTTATGAACTCTAGGGTAACCACTAGCAAAAAACAAACAACAACAAAGAAGGAGGAGGAAAAAAAAAAACCAACCCCCCCCAAAAAAACCCTAAAGGAATGTATAACTACTTAATAAGTGGAAGATATAGAAGATAATATAATACAATCTAACCAAAAGGCAAAAAAGCTATGACATAAAACAAATAGCAAAACAACAGCTTTATAGCCAAATATTTTAGAAGCATATTACATGTATACAGATTGAGTGCTCTAAATAAAAGGGCAAAGACTGGGCCAGCAAGATGGCTCATGGGAAAGGGGGCTTCTTGCCAAGTCTGACAATCTGAGTTTGTTTCCTGACACCCACATGGGAGGAGAGAACCAACTCTTCTAAGTTGTCTTCCGACCCACCTGCATGCATACACAGACACACACACAGAGAAATAAAATTTGTGTGTATGAGTGTACTGCCTGCATGTGTGTGCATCCATGTTGTGCCAGAGGTCAGAAGAGAGCACTGAATTCCCCTGGAAATAGAATTATGAACAATTGTTACTCATCATGTGCATGCTAGAAATCGAATCCAGGTCCTCTGTAAGAGTAGCCAGTGCTCTTAACCACTGTAATAAAAAAATCTGGTAAAAGACAAGGATTGTCAGATGCAATGACAATGAAAGCAAATGAAAGCAAAGACAGAGAAGAGGAATGGTGGTACTCATCTTTAATCCCAGCACTCAGGAGGCAAAGGCAGGTCAGTCTCTATGAGACTGAGGCCAGCCTGGTCTACACAGTGAGTTCCATGCCAGCTGGGGCTACAGAGACCTTGTCTCAAAAACCCAAATGAAAATAATAATAAATAAATGGAAAAGATTGAAAATGCACCAAGAAACCAAATAAAAATATTGATATAACTAATGTCAGATAAAAAAGACTGAATCAGGAGCTGAAGAGATGGCTCAGAGTTAGAGAGCACTTACTGCTTTTATAAAAGACCAAAGTTTTAAGTATTTTAGTCAGTTAAGCTTAAAGTTATTTATGTTTTGCATTAAAAATGTAACTGTTTAAATTTACTGAATTTCTTTTTTAAAGAGAAATTTTATTGATTCAAATATTTCATATAATGAATTTTGATTATATTCAGACCTCCTCCCCCACCTCACCCCTCACCCCTACCTCCTACGTTGTGTCTTCTATTAGCAAAGGAAAAATGTCATCCATCTTACATAACGCATCTGAGCTGGGTGCCTCAGAAATCATATTTCATTAGAGTATCAGTGATGGATATAGTTCTTACAATCAGGTGCGCCAAAGTAAGGGCCCACTCCCTTCCCTTTGGATGTGGTTTTGGGTCAGAATATGCCCAGGTTTCTTAGAATGGGATTTTTACTCTTAATTCTGTTTCTCTTACACACTACTTAGGAATGTCAAGTAGGGATTTCTCTTTTATTCAGTGGTCAGAAATGAACATTTTGCAAGTTATACTTTGGCTGTTTCCGGGCCTCACTCAGCACAATGACCCCACTGTGGACCAATGTATTCTCCAACAGCTTGATTCCCTACAGGATTTTACTGTGGGTAAAAGCAGAAGCTAGGTGCTCACAGCAGGCAGCCATTACTTCACAGGTCTCCAATCCAAGATTCTCTGTGTGGTAGACAGGAAGTTTCACACAGCTTCATATGACAGCTTTACACCAGTGTCCTCTAGTTTATTTTCTGAAATCTGTCAACTTCTCATATTTCTAAGATTGTTGTGGCCTGCAGCAGGTCTTGACACCAGGGTGATGTTGATGGTCAGCCTGACCATGGGTGCCTCCAAAGCATGTGGGTAGGCCGGCCAGTCAGTTTAGCTCCCACCCTGCTATTGCATGTGGGCTGTATGGCCCAGCTTGAGTCCGCCCCATTGGTGTACAGTGGGTGACCATGCCAGTGCCCCTCTACCCCACCTCCACCTGCTGTGCACCTCAACCCCACTAGTGCACACATGGTAGGCCAGGCCTGAGGCTCCACTGGTGTGTGCCAGCTACGAGGCTGGCTCTGCCCTACCGGTGTGTATGGGCAGCCAGACTAGCTTGGCTCCACCATCTTGGCTTCCCAACTACTTTCCCACTTATTTCCCAAGTCCTGAGTTCAGATATTTGAGAACAATCTAGAAGTAGCAAAATTCTTAATTAAATGAAGAGGCCAGGAGTCAAGTTTAAGTCCTTGTGCTGAGAAGATTTGGGGAAAATAAATTATACCCAAGAGGCCTTTAAAAAAAAATAAATAAAGGACATGGAGCCAGGGAGGGAGGTAGTAGTAAGGTGGGGCTGGGGATGGGGGTATGAGTATGATCAAATACATCGTATGAAATTCTCAAAAAAACAATGAAAATTTTAAAATAAAGAATTGCAGACCTTTGAAAGGCTATCATAAAAATAAATTTGGAGCTAGAGAGATGGTTCAGCAATTAAGAGCACCGGCTGCTCTTACAGAGGACCTGGGTTCAATTCCAGGCACCCACATGGCAGCTAACAACCATCCTAACTCCAGTTCCAGGGGATTCTATGCCTTCTTCTAACTTCTGGGGGCATTACACGACATGGGTACACTTACATACATGCAAGCAATACACTCACACAAAATAAAAAATTTGAAAAACACTAAATTTTAAAGATCAAATTATAAATTACCTTGACTGTAGTTGAGAACACACCCTAAATGGACAGGCAAATTAAAACCATGACTATGTCTTAGCCTGAAACAGAATTAAAGTAATGCTACAATAATCTGTCAATATCCAAAAGGCAGGCAGAAAAGGGAGGGTGTGAAGAACCACAGGGGTAGTTCATGGGCAGGGCTGCCAATGCTACCACTTCGACACTATTTCTAAATCTGTCAAAAGCTACAATGACAAACAAGGACATTTCAGAAACAGTTTGTCATCGGCAAAGAGAATGTGGCTATTTGGAGAAGGTCTGGCCTGCTCTACTACACTCCACCGGCAGAGGACAGGTCTATCAGACTCTGAAGTCACAGATCAATGATAAATTTACAATGAAGGTTATAAAACTAATCTCAAAGACTAAAAATAATCAAAAGATGCTTTATTGTGGGGTACTTATAAGACTGCTTATAAAGGAAAAAATAAAAATAAAAATTTCAATCTGCCACCTTTAGAATAGTAAAAGGCTAAAACCTGTATTTCAAAACTGAAATGCCATTTTGAGAAAGAGTTGTTTTCACAGGCATTCCTTTCTAAACTCTGTCAAGCAAATGTTTTTGTACGCTATCTTTCCTCACATGCAGACAGCTCCTGACATACAGAACAAATAGAGGCTGGGACACAGTGCATCAGACGTTCAAATCAAAGTACCAAACACTGTCTCTTTCTCACAGGACAAAAAAGAGGTGGCCACATTCCTCATTTCTTTCATTTCACAGGACATAAAAAGACATAAAGTACTCAGAACCATACTCGATTTTGAAAGGAAATCTAGCTCACTAATCTTTACAAAGCTGTATTCCTAAAATCGGAACTGCACAGCAGATCAAACCAAAAGCACAATTTGGTCTTTAAAATTCTGGGACATTTCTTCTGCTTTCAAAGGGTTGGGTTTCTAGAGACTAATTAACTTTTTATATTGTACCTGGCATTTTCTCCATAAATAAAAATTAAGAAAAATATTAGCCCATAAATACTATATATTAAGACACTTATTTAAAAAAAGTCACTGTCCTCAATTTTGAAACTTTACTGTCTAGTTTGTAAGCCAAAAACACAAAATTTATCCTAACATGTGGTAGTAGAGATTTGCATGAGGCGTTCACTCTTGTACATAATTTGATGATCTCATTGAATTTTAGTTGTAATTAATATAAATACCTGAATTTTAGTTGTAATTAATATAAATACCTGTACTGTTTTTCCAAGTCCCATATCATCACCAAGAATACACCCTCTTCCTTGGATGTAGTGTCCATAGAGAAACTGGGCTCCTTCCCTTTGGTAATCTCTCAAGTACCTATTAATAGTATACGGAATAGAGTGTCCATCTTCAGATAATTTAAAAGCATTAACAGATGATGGAAATTTTTGGTCTGGGAAATAAGGTTTTTCCAAATCTTCATCATCAAATATAAAATTCCTGGAGAAATCTTTAATTGACCTTACTTCTTGAAGTTTTTTAAGAGGTATTTTCTTTTCTTGAAAATCTGAATATAGGACAACTGCAAAGAGCTTCCCATTTTCATCCACGGTGACATACTTTATGCTTGCTTCACAGAGTTTTTTATTATCTGGAGAAGGAGCAAGACATCTTTCTCCTGGATACCAACAGTCTATAATAAAGAAGAAGATGGAATTTTCAAAAAGCTTACAAAGTAACACTTCATTTACCCACTGAGAACATTTTTATGGTATCTTTACCAAATAACTGAAACAAAATGGATTATATTTATATGCATAGGTATCTTTCTAAAATATATTATATGGTCTAAAATAAACAGTATAATTTCTTTCCTGTGGCTCTTATGCTGGCTGTGTGTTATTATCTACCCTGGAGTTTAAAAAAATATATTGCTTGGACACCACCCCTTAGTGACACTTCATTTCACTGTTTGGTTGTTATTACTGAATTTAAAATTGATCCTGATGTACAACCAGGGTTGAGATCTACTGACTGACATGTTCTTGCTGGCCCATGAACAGTATACACGTTATCACTACATGTCAAGCAACAGAAATAGAGTAATGAGTCAGCTGAAATCCCCTGGACAGCAATTCTTTCGTGGTTTTATCCGCCCTTTTTATGGTTATTCCACCTCCTTTCTCTAGAGACAGGTGCTCTCACTGTTGGTATTGCTGCTTCTAAATCAGTGGTATACAGCTAGCCAAGGGAACCCAGTTTAACTACAATGATGTCACAGCTTTCCCTTCTGGGTGCTGAATACTTAAAATTGTTAAGAGATGAGTTCTAAGAGTCCTTTGTAAGGTCTGATGAGTCTTATCTGTATACATACAAACTTATTCTTTGCTAACTGTACAACCATCTATTTGATTTTCTATTCTGAAGATTTAGCATTACGAATGGGAAAGGAATATCTCTAGAATATACTATTAAATACATTCAGAAGGCACCAAATAAGAGTAAGGTAAATAAAAACAATTTTCCAAATGGAATTCCTCATGGCAAGAATTCAAGAAATACATGATTACAACCATAAGAGCACTGGTAATTATTTTCTAACATCTATCACTGACACCACAGACCATAAATAGTTTCCTAGGGTCTTCCAGATAAGCTCTAGTCAGAGCTTCATAATACTCAATATTACAATGACAGGTGTCTACTGTCTTAAGCAAAACAACTCATGATATTCTTCACCAATTCCTCCTTGAAAGTAAAGCCATCACACCCACTAACTTAGTGAGTCTGTTTTACCATAGCAACCTACATTGGAAGAAGAGAAGAGTGCTACAGGATGTAAGTACTGGGGAGTCTAAGTAAGTTATCTCACCTGGCACTCCCTGGGGGAAACAGCTGAAGGACCTTTTATGGGTACCTTTGTAGTTCCTGGGTTTGAATAATTTCCAGTACAAAATTAAGTTCAAGCCAGAGATGATTAGCTAACTACTGGGGGTTAAAAATGCTAAACCCGGAGGATTTCCTGTTGAATGGTGGGACGAAGGCTAATGTTCCTCATGATCTGAGTCCCTCGCTCCCTTTTTCATACCAAAGCAGTCTGCTTGCTAGGCTTCTTCCAGCATGACAGCATGCTCCCACCTAAGACCCCTTGAGCTTTTTGTTCTTTTCAGCAGCACTCTTTCCCTAAATACCCAAGTGACTGACTCACTAGATTCAACTGATGAAGTAGCATTCCATTTACCACAATCTCCACTCACAAGATTCATCTATTTTGCATTTACCTGGCAGGCTCCTACAGACATTATCTGTGGGTCTTGAATTATTATATCTATTCTTAACCCTAAGAGTTCAAGATCTGTTGCTCACCCTGAGATTTAGCACTGAATTCCCTTTATTTCAAGAGATTGATGCCTCCCTTAAAGGAAAGGCAAGTTAACCAACATATTCCTGGGCACACAACACTCAATAGCTGGTAAATGTGCTATATTATATTAGGTCATGTGGGATGGCTCAGGGAAAGGGCGTCAACTGGCCCCTAAACCTGATGACCGGAGTTGGATCCCTGCAACCACATAGTGGAAGGAGAGAACTGACTCCAACCTGTCCTCTGCCCTCCACCTGCGTGGCACATGTACGCCAGCACACACAATACTTTTTCTAAAAAATCTGTTATATCAATCACTATTATTAACGGAAGCAAAGAGCAAGAAGGTATCTCTGATGACTTGTAGCAGATAAGCACGCCTTCCTCATAAACCCTCGGTAACTACTAGAGGCTGGATAGTGCCTTACTACACCGTGTATTAAGTTCTTTGTGTAACATAAGTCAACTGAAATAGCCCAACTGTTGTTCATCTACTTAACAAGCTTCTAGTATTGGATAATAACTGGTGTATAAAAAGGCAAAGGAAAAAAATAGGTAACATTTACTGAACGCTAAGTCAAAAGTGGAGTCGCTTGTATACGTCTCATTTAATCGCAAAACCCGCCAACTGCTCAGTAAGTAACTTGGGGACAGCACTAAATCCACGGGCAGTCTGAGCCCAGGGTCATACACTGAATCACAAAGCGGTCCCAGCCAGGAAGGGCTTCCCAAGTGCAGGTGTCACTCCTAGGAGCCGGCGAACACCTCAACCGGAAGTGCCCTGAGCACAGGTGAGCGCAGAGGCGCGAGCTCGGAGCTCATACCTTTGCGGGCTGACTCGGCGCGGGGCTGCGGGACAGAGGCATCCATCCGGTCAAGGAGAGGAGCCTGGCAACCCCGCGGCTCTCAGCCCACGGCCGGCGGCGAAGGGCAGCGACCAGGGCACGGGGGCAGAGTGTGGCCAGCACCGCGCCGCCCGCCCACCATCGGCCTCCCGGAGCGCCGGGACTAAGCGGGGCAGGGGCCGCAGCGTCCGCCCCGCCCTGTGCGGAGCCAGACTTCAAACAGCAGGGCACACGGACCCTATGTCTTCCTCGCCGAATCTGCCCAGCCTCAAGCACCCACCTCCGCTGCCCTCCCTCTTTCGGGAAATCCCGCGAGAACGGGCTCCCAGCCGCCAACTCCCGGAATCTCGCGAGAAGATGGGGGGGCTCCGCCCTAGCGATCTTTCTGCAACTCTTTCCCCTGTGGGCAGTAGCAGGAAGGTCCGCGACCGTTCCAAGTATCGCGAGATTTGGTGTGGTTCGCCTCCTCTCAGCTGCCAGCAGTTAAAGAGGTTCTCTAGTTGGTTAGACAGAGGCTCTTGGCGGAGTCAGTCATCGTTGTCGCGGTGCCACACGCCTAGGAGCTTTGGGAGTGCGATTTCTTGGGTGAGACACTTGGAACTAACTTTTTCGAATATAAAACCAGCTACACTTGCCATAGTCGGAAGGTAAACGTGGAGTTGCATTAACCTTTAGAGAGATTTTCTTTACCGTTTGAACTTAGCAGTGATTTGTACAATACCCTGGGAGAAGGCTGTGCACACCGTGCCATCCGCCGTCTCAACACCTTCAGGACGGCGCCCAATGGATGCTGCCCCTCTGACACTCTTACAGACTTAAGTTGACTAAGTAAAAAATTATTCTTGGATACCGTCAAAATGTTCATGTTCTCTTCCCTATTTCATGACATCATAATAAGCCTGTATTTTTTTCCTATTGTTGCTACAACCAGTTATCACATTTTTTTGTTTAATAGTTATTTAAAACAACACAAATGTTATTCAGAGAACATTAATTTATCTTCTGGTTTTGTAGGTCAGAAGACATGCAGGTATTCTTGGGCAATAACTAAGTGGCATTCCTTCGTGGAAGTTGTAGGAAATCACAGTTCTTGCCCTTTGCTCCTCGGTGTAAATTCCCCAGCTTGTAGCTCTCTTCCTTAAAGCCAGGGATGTTGCATTTCTCTGAGCCGGCCATAGTGGTGGCTCTCAACCATTGCATATGGCTGGGAAATAGTATTTTTGTTTTTAATTTGTGTATGTATGAGTGTTTTGCCTGCTTGTATGTAAGTGTGCCATGTGTGTGCAGTGCCCACAGAGGCCAGAAAAGGGTGTCAGATCCTTCTGGAACCGGAGTTAAGAACAGTTGTTAGCCACCATGTGAATTTTGGGCTGGAAACTGTGGTCCTTTGCCAGGGCAGCCAGTGCTCTTAACTGCTGAGCCATTTCTCCAACCCCTATTTATGTATATTTATTTTATGTGTATAAATGTTTTTGCTGTCATGTATGTAAGTGCCCCACGTGCATGCAATGCTTGTGGAGGCCAGAAGAGGAATTAGGAGTTAGATGGTTATGAGCTGCCATATCGATTCTGGAACCCTAATTCTGAGCTGCTGCCAGAGCAGCCCATACTGTTAACCACTGAGCCATCTCTCCAGCACAGAAAGAGTACTTTTTGAGAACTTGCTAAAATAATCCCATTTCCAGATCTGCAGTTTCCAGATCTTGCTAAAATAATATCATTTCCAGATGTGCAAGAGCCCTTTGAGAGTAAGATAACATATTTATGGATCCCTGGATTTAGAGACCCAAACATCTTTGTTGGATGATCATTATCTTGCCTACTATAGGGCCTTATTTGGGGAAAACTATATAGCTATTTGTTCTGCAAAGAGATTTCAATTCCTTTGCTGATATTAAAAATTAGTACAATGTTTTCATAGGAATGCTTCATCTAGAATATCACTTGTTTGCTTACCAGTAAGAAAAACCTTTGAGAGAACCATCTAAGAATATAGAAATGAAGTTAATAGCAATGACCTAACTAAAAGGGGGTGTTAGTAGCAAATAAGAGAATTAAATAAAGGTCTTAGAACAGTGCCTGGACACAATAAGGATTGTTTGTTCTATTGTTACAGAATACATCCACATGAAAGCTACATGCTGCATAGTATTTTGGATAATGGTTGATTATACCTTATTCAATTCAGTTGATTGATTGGATTCTAACTTTAGACATCATTTATTATATGACATATTTCAGACACAGATACAAAAAGAAAAAGTAGCTGATTATAATAACCTTTTATTCTAACATGCAACCTGATATTGGAAATCTTAAAATCTAGAAAAAAGTCTGATTCTTGGAATTCATGAAGCATATCTGTTTTACTTAAACTTCTCTCATATTCTGAAATCAAAGTGGCAAATAGAAAATTCTAGCTTGCTTTTAATTTTTTTCTACAACCACCAGAGAAGTTTGCCCCTGCCCCCATTAGTTGTATGATACTGTATGATATTGTCTTGCTTTTCCAGAAGTCTGTACGATGTAGATCCTTACAGAGCTGACATGTTATTTGATACTACAAGTTATTTGATAACCCCCAAAGTAAGCTTTGATTTAAAACAAAGAAGTCCTCTGGTTGAAAGAACACACCCTGGTGACTAACAAGAAAAGAGGGTGCCTCCTCTTGAGTGTTTATTCAACTGCATGGCCATGCTTATCCTGTACTGTGAAGCAGGAACAGTCATGACATGAAAAGTCTTAATGAACTGCATATATCATCAAATTAAGCATGCTCTAACATCCTTCCCACCCTTAACAGTAGCTGTTGTCCTTCCCAGTTGCCTGTGCATTCTCATGTATAGATGTTGTGAACACCCAGCACCAGGCCAATCACTTCAAGGTGAAATCGTAGTATGTTCAGGAGTTCTAAAGCCAATATAAGTGATGTTGGATTGACCATACTATATGCAGAACCACTGGCAATGGAAGACCTAACAAAATCAGGCCAGCTAAGACTACAGAAATAGGACAGAGGTGTAGCACACCTAAACTAAGTATACAGCATATATTTAGCACACATGAGACCCTAAGTTCAATCCTCACCACCAAAAAGAGAGAGAATAATACAATAGCAATAGCATAGACATTTCAAAAGAATATTACTTGACTATCAAAAAGGCCTTTAAAAACAATGATTAAACCCTCTAATACTGCATTAAAATTGGTTTCTATTTAAGTTCACAATGCAAGAGGCATATATACATGCATATATATGGTAAATAGGTCTCTAAAATAATGAACCTATCAAAAGACTCAAGGAAAAAATAGATATGGAAACATGACAACACAAGAGTTACAAAGTTATATTGTCTTAGTTACATGAGTTTGGGTTGTAGCCTTTCTCCCTTAGTGCATTATTTCAGCCAATAAAAAGAAAGGAAGAAGAGGTGAGTGAAGGCAGGGGGAAAAGATAAAATAAATGTGTCCTGTTTTGCAAATATGTAATTTAAATTTTAAAAATCAAGAGTTGGGAATGTGATCGCCAGGGCTGGACATCTCTGCCCTACAGTAGGGCTGAGACCTTAGCAGACTGCCTTAAAGTGCCAAATTCGGGCCTTCCCTAAGCGAACTTCCCAAATTGTATTGTGAGTGCTCACTAGTAGGGGTCCAGATGTTAGAAAGAAGCCTGAGTGTACCTGACTGAAGCCTCTGTGGGAGCTCCTGAATAGCTGATCTGAAGCCTTCAGTTCCCTCCAGTATAAAATCTGAGAGAACTTGAAATCTAGAAAACCAGCTTTATGTACCCAATAAGAAAACTTCCAAGGCACACCAGTAATACAAACAGAATCAAACTTCAACGCAACAAAAGAAAGCTTGAGTTTCATACCAGAATCAAAAACAACAAAAGAAATCCACATGCCAAAATCACAACAACAAAAATAATAATATGGAAAACCAAAACAGTATGTTCCCACCAAACTCCATGAGTCCTATAGAAGAGATCTACAAGGAGAACCCCTAGAGATAACCCAGGACACAGAATTTCAAAGAACAATCATAAACATGATCAAGAAATTCAATGAATTTAAAGAATACACAAAGAATCAAAGATCTAAAAAAAGATAGGGATAAACTTCTGACTGAATTCACAAGAGATAGAAATATTGAAGAAACTCAGTCTGAAATGAAGGAGGCTATGAAAAATTCAATAAGCCAATTTT